TGTTCAGCCCATACTAATGGCCTATTATGCCCTGTAAGGCATCTAAACAATTAACCTGAATCATAGGTATCATAAGTTGAGAGCAATAAGGTTCACATTCCTTTAACGGTTACAGTGACGTAATTAAAACCCTGCACGCCATTTTAATTACTATTTTTACGACACACAATGATTCTTAGAGTGATATAAAATCGTGTGTTCTCCATTTTTGGTCGTGATTTTTTTATGTATTTAAAAAAGTATTTTATGAGGATGATGTAGGTACTATTATAAACTAAAGTCAACAATTGGAAAGTTACGCACTCTGTCTGAATATGAACTCCACAACCAAGTGTGGAGATTATGATTAAGTCACTTAAGTAACATGGAATTCAGAGTAAATTATTTTAGTCCTACAGCCGTTTTCGCCAACCACTTCTTACTAAGCGTGAGGCAGCACCTAAACTAACCCCTTGCCTGTACTTTTAGGAGCCACGTATAGATAAATTATTATGTTTTCGGCGTACTCACGTAATAATTTGACGAGGAACTCGACTAGTTTCAAGCCATGCTAGAGGCTTATATTCGACGCGTAGCAGCAGCTGTAGCAGCCGCGTCACGTGTCGCGAAATGCGAAATTAGTATGACTCACGAAAGTTACAGCCACGTATAGGTAGGTGAAAACCAAAATGTCGTTAAGTGTCACCTATCTCAGTTTAGGGATTTCATGAAATTACGAGAGGTTGGTAAACATGGAGTCCTTAAAAGTCCTAAAAAGAGTGATGCGAAAGCAACACTCTTTTGAAAAATTTACTGAATTATTATTATATTGCTTTTAACAATATGGTCATCTAAACCACAGAATTTACCAGGAAATTGAATGCATTATTTCACAAATCAAAACCAATAAAGCCAACACGATACCGTCCACTATATTTCAACTATTCGTTTACGGTTCTACCAATTGTTGTTGCAGTTGCAATTTGAGCGTAATGTGATAACAATTTGTGTAGAATTGGGGAAAATACCAACAGCAAATACTAATATGACTTTTTCCGAGTTATACATATGTATGTACTTTCTAAGATTATTTAGACACCACTGAGAAACGGCGAAGGAAAACATCGTGAGGAAACTTGGGTGCTTACCTTTTGAAGTCAATCTCAATTCAATCCAATAAAATTTCAATAATTATTCAATGTCAAAACTATACAACCCCTATCGTAGGTGTTAAAATAGCATTCAGAGTACGGAATATAAAGCCAAACTCAATACCATTTAGTTCATTAAATATCCACGCTCAACGTATGCAATGGGCACTAGTGTTGCAACTCAAGACTACGAAATTTCTCACCACCAATGTCGATCGGTCTTATAATTTCTAATTTATTAGTTCGCCGACCCGCATTGAGCAAGTGTCGTCATTATTGCTCAAACCTTCTCCATGCGAGAAGAGACACTGTTGATGTGTGATGGAGAAAAGATCTATAGTGGAAACCGATTCTTTATTGAATTATGTAATAGAACCTAGAAGTAATTTTGAAGTATGAATAGAAATACATCTATAAAGAGAACCAGATTCAGAAAAGCAATACTTTATTGCTAGAAATTCTAGAAACTATATTCAATGCTAGAAATATTCTAACAATTATAATCCAAGAATTGTTGTTCCGCATAAGTGTGTTACGCATGTTTAATACTAGGTACCTACTGTGTATTTGTGAGGACATGCACGGCACAAGAAAATCTTAGTGTACATACATGAGTGGGCAGCATTTTTAAAAAAGAATAAATGTGATTGAGGCAATGCTATCAGAAAAATGCTATCTATGTAGGTATATGACGGACGTAGGTATTATCAAAAAACCATCATTGTCAAAGGGTATCAAATACTAAGCAGGAAAGTGATTTATTGCCAATATTTTCTCTGATAATAATAAAAGCTATTGTATTTTTTAAACAATAAACGTTCGAAAAAGGTTAATTGATTTCCTTCCTGGGTAAGCACTTAGCTCGTGGTGGAATTGGCCCAAAGTTTTTCTTTGTAATGGTTTTATTAAATCAACTAAGAATAAAATATTCTTTTTCCTCTTAATTTACTTTGGGGACCTCCTTATAATTGTAAAAATTGTTCAGATACAAAGAGAAATATTGGTTTAGTCGAGAGTTCTGTACGGATATTAAGGAATGTTTTCGTTGGTTTATTTAATGGAATAAGTTCTTGTTAATTTCGAACGTTTGTTCCATATGTTTTTTATCTGCAAGTTTAATATAAATATAGTCTGTTAGTATACCCCATATCAGTTGCGAACTCGCAACTCCGCTTCGGCGCTACGTGCAGGAGTAGGAACGGTATGGTTTTTAGTCAGTAAGTCTGACACTCCCTCTTGCTTCACCCGGCTTGGAGCTTCATCATTGAATAACTTTCACCATCATGATGATTCTGTTTCATTCACGTACTGAAAAATTAATTCAAATAATTACTATCATAGAGGAGTGACTTCGCCTGGTTAAACAAAAACAACTGATAATACTTTGTTTGACACAAAAATCGTACTTGAAACACTCGACCGACAAGGCGACTTATTAGGCTTAAAATTAATCTTTTCAAAACAGAAAGGTTTTGTAAAGATCCCGTTTTGTAAAGACCCGTCGTAGCTTCGAGTTGAATGTCGAGTATGACGGACGATTGGTACCTTCAATTAAAAACCGATGGATATACCCGATCATCAATATGCTCTCGAATTGATTAAATTTGTAGCATAACGAGCAATATCCAATTTTTGAACGATAATTAAAGTGATATTGTAAACATAATGTACCATTGCCAATATTGTTAACAATGATATTTTAATTATGATTATTATATTTATGTTCCAAAATTATAAAATATAACGATATTTAAAATATCATTAGTTTTTTAATAAAGACAGTAAATGGCATACGGGTTTTATCAGTTTTGTGATTAATTCCACTATATTAAACTGTCAAACACCAAGCGGTCACCGGTGACCGCAACCTATTGTTCTATAATTGTGTCTATAATGACGGTACTCGACGAGTTAATAACATAACATAACATAACATAACATCACGCCTTTTATCCCCGAAGGGGTAGGCAGAGGTGCACAGAAGTAACACCCACTTTTCACTATTTAGTCCCATGCAATAGGGGGTGAGCCTATTACCATATACCGGGCACATTTCCAGATTCCGTGCTACTACTGCGATTTTTTTAAAAGCCCAGTAATACTTCGCCCGACTTGGGAATCGAACCCGAGACCCCTTGCCCGGCAGTCGCACTTGCGACCACACGGCCAACGAGGCAGTCTTCTTCTTCTTCGTCTTTCATATTTTGTCTTCAATCTTTCATATTTTGAAATAAGTTTATAATTTTATTACACTCTTTATTTAAACCACATTTAATACTCTAATTATATTTTAAACATCCAACAAAGATTTAAAAGTAATTGTTTTAACATAAAGGGTGCGTGTTAATTGTTAAACATAACCTCAAAATCAACAAGAAGAAATGAAACTCCCGTGTAGTTACGAAGCGGCATAAAATGATCATATTCATAATTCAATAAAGCAAATGTGGGTTATAATTTCCCTTGTAAAATAGCTTTACCCGATCCTCATTGTTCTGCTAACATTCGTACTACGTCACACGAGTAAGTTATCAGACAGAGTACTATGGTTGGCAAAATGGCAATTCGAAAATTAATATGGAATGAAAATCATGACGTAATTATTGTCCTTCGCAGTACACAGTTCACATCAAGCTTCTTTTGTGATTTAAATGTATTTTAAGCTTACTTCTTTACTCTGTGTAATAGGATCATCTGGAAAGGACTATACTAAACTTAAACTACCCTTAAATAAATGCATTTTTTTTATAATTCAAATAAATAAATAAAATAATCATTACGGTGATTTATTGTCTATTACTTTCTATGCCCTGGAGTTTCGCGACCGATGAACCAACCCTAACCTGATTTCACTCATCTGATTGGTTTTCAGATTTTACGCTACTTCTGCGGATTCCGAAGTCCTATGCCAACACCAAGCTCAGGGTACTTATACTTACGATCACTAGGTCAAATAAAATGGAACATGATTGAAAATTTTATAAAGTCATCGTCGGCAGCCTTGTATCCTATCTATGCTACCGTATTTTCTAAGTTAAGCCTCTGTTGACTTTTATAATCATGGCCTCAATATAACCGTGACGAGGCGCTTCGGTTAATGACTTTCGGTTTAAATGTGCTGTTTCACGTCGGAACGACAATTAAGCTTGAAATATCGGTATTGTATTGCTATCTATCATATGTTGGCAGGATATTTTATGAACTTTCAAAGTTTCACATGCAATTTCGTCCTATTTTTGTTCGGGACATCAGTTTCTATAAACTATCAGCTCGTATTGTATAGTATTTGCTTTGCACTGCGATATTATTGACATTAATAAAACAATTGAAGATAATACATATTCATAAGAGGTGCACCTAAATCTTGTCATCGAAATACATTATAATTATTATATCGTTTGGGTGCGATTTCAGTATTGCCATCTCTCATCAAAAAGAAAGAAATTAACGCTCCATCGAACTAGAAACTAGTGATCTGAAATAGGTACCTAATAATAAATATTTTGTCTCAAAAGATACCACAAAAATAGTCACTTCATGATACACATGAGAGAATCTAATAACACACTGAGTGGGAACGAATAAATATGTCAATCTTATGACGGATATTATGGGTCATATTTGTTTACTATATTGCCACTTTCATCTTGACTTTGAGTCCCGGATTTTCGTAATAAATATTTAAATAAGGTACTGAGAAATGTCACTCTGAATTCAGGTTTATTATTGCGAGTAAATAAAAAAGTTATATGTACATTTCGTTCTTGTTTTCATTAACTAAAATCACATAGCAATAAAAAATATTCGACGCTAACATCATAATTATCTTGTGTACTTGAAAGCCTTCAAAACTGTTTCTTTTCTTTTCAGATCGGAAATTTTCTTCACCAATCAACGGCACTAATGAAGCAATCCGCAAACGGGATATTGGAGTAGCAGCCGCTCGCGCCACCTTCCTCGCGCAATAAAACAACATACCCCTGCTAACTCCATCACAGACCACATTCAAACAAAAACAAACCCTACCAGAACGCCACAACGACCACAATCCCCCAACATCACGTAGTCAAATGGCTCTGCTCCGAATTGAAAACACAATCCAAGCAATATGTCAATTAAAGTGTATTCTCAATTGTAATCAAGCGCGCCATTTTAAGACCAAAAAGCTTCGCGACGAGGTCATATTCCAGACTTGATTCGTAAAGCAAATTAAGATATCGTAACTACACAAAGGGAGAAACAAAACCAATGTATGGTTACGTCAGGATAACGAACAAATTAATCGTCACCCAAACCAGGGATTCGTATGGCGACTCAAAGTCATAACTCCTACCGTTCACTGCCTAGCTTTGTTGCTTTACCTTCGTGTCTTCTCGTACTGGCATCCATTCTTTTGCAACCGGCACTAGCCTCGGTTGAACTAGAATCAATTCTAAGCCCAGAGTTCAACGTAAGTAACCCAAACGCAACGGTGAACTGGACGTTCCTAGACGACAATTCCACATTCTTGAAGCACGGCCACATCAAGCATTCGAAATATTCCATACCTACTACTATTCTCTTAGTCACAATATTTTTGATAGTTATAATTGGAACTATAATAGGAAATGTGTTAGTTTGTGTTGCAGTACGCTTAGTTAGGAAATTAAGAAGGCCTAGTAATTACTTGATTGTATCGCTGGCAGTGAGCGACTTGTGTGTGGCCTGTATTGTGATGCCAGTAGCCACCGTCTATGATATTATGGGAACGTGGCCTTTTGGACCGGTCATATGCGACTTCTGGGTATCGAGTGACGTGCTATCCTGCACCGCTAGCATTCTTAACTTGTGCATGATCTCCGTGGACCGCTACTATGCTATTACGAAGCCTCTGGAATACGGTGTGAAGAGAACACCTCGGAGGATGCTATTTTGTGTTTTCATCGTATGGATAAGCGCCGCATTCATTTCCCTCCCTCCGGTCCTTATCCTAGGAAATGAGAAGACTGACACCTCCTGTTCTGTGTCACAGAATCAGGCGTACCAAATCTATGCAACTTTTGGTTCATTCTACATACCGTTGACTGTAATGATCGTGGTCTATTATAAAATATTTAGAGCTGCTAGGAAGATTGTAAAAGACGAGAAACGTGCTCAATCACACTTGGAGACGCACTGTTACTTGGAAATAAATGTGAAGAATGGCGGAGCCGCGGAAGCTAAGCTGCTGGGTAACCAGCCGGCTCAGCCTCCCCCGAGAGGATCGACGGCGAGCACGAATACAACGGTGAGCTTAGTCGTATAAATTGTTTAGTGTTTCACTGTTTCGCTCTCAAGAGAAAATAAATATTGCAATAATAAAGTCGTGCTTTATATCAAAACGTTAATAAAATAATTACTGCCTAACATGAAATAATTGGCCGTGTGGTGTGTGCGTGGTGGTGTGCCTGGCAAGGGGTCTGGGGTTCGATTCTCGGGTCGGGCAAAATATTACTGGGTTTGTTAAAAAAATCTCTGCCTGGAATTATGTCAATGTGTATGTCAATGGGCTCACCCCCTATTTGATGAAACTCATAACATAATATAAATAGTGAAAAGTTGATGTTATATTGTACAGTGGCATTAAGTGCCGTAATGTGTACTTTTGCATGGGCAAAAGGCATGGGCCTTCGGAGATAAAAGGCGTGATGTTCAAGTGCGATAATCTAATCCATACCATTAATAAATATGGTATAGATGTAGTAATTTCTATGAATATGATTTTACCTTGTTTATTAACAACTTGAAGGCCATTTATGTATATACTCTTAGCGACTAAAATATTTTATTTTTGTTACAGTGTAGCGTAGACAAAACAGAAAGCACAATCGGGAGATGCTTTAGTGGCCAAAGAAAGTCGAACGAGTCGCAGTGCCCAATGTTGCAACAACCAAAGACTCCAACAAAACCTATTCACACCATAAACCGGTCACCCACACAGCTGGTGCCCGGGAAACTAGCGGTGAAGGAGAGACAAAGACAGCCTTCGGAGAGTAGTCAGAAAACCACGACGAACAGGATCCGTTCGTCGCTCTCGAATTTTGCTCATAAAAGCCATATCGCCAAAGACTTGCTACATCCGCAGAACGCTGTTCATCAGAAAAAACTGCGGTTTCAATTAGCCAAAGAACGCAAAGCGTCCACCACCCTCGGTATCATCATGTCTGCATTCGTCATCTGCTGGCTACCGTTTTTCGTGTTAGCTTTAATTAGACCATTTGTGAAAGAAGATGCTATTCCCGATGCGGTGAGTGCGCTTTTCCTCTGGCTGGGCTACCTGAACAGTTTGCTCAACCCAGTCATATACGCGACACTGAACCGAGACTTCAGAAAGCCGTTCCAAGAAATCCTATTCTTCCGTTGTGGCAATCTGAACCACATGATGCGTGAGGAGTTCTACCACAGTCAATACGGTGACCCTGACCAACATTACTGTGTGAACAATACTACCAAAATGCACAATTACGAGGAGGGGGTAGAAATAGTTTCTGCCGTCGATAGGGAGGAGACAAGAGCTTCAGAGAGTTTTCTATGATTGTCAATGCCAGAGGTCGCTACAAGAGACCTAGATACTGTGATCTAAATAAGACTTTTTTATAATAGTACCGCGGTCTAACAGTGTTGATTTAATCGATTTCGTTCGTTTTAATAACTTGTGTATTATAAAAGGCTGTTTCTACCCAACTAGTCGTTACTTACGTAAATGTAATCGAGGTTTCGTTTGTGTAAAATACATAGTAGTAGACCATTTTATATGTGCAAACAGAAAGTGTGACATGAGTATTAGATGATAAAATAGTTGCTATTGTAAATATTTTTAATATTATTTGACAGTGACGTAATGTTGTGTCATTTTTATTATCTGTGTAGTGTAAATGAATTGTACCATAATGTCTATGTCTATCCGTTGTACCAAAAACATTTTCTCTTTGCAAATATAAATGGACCTCAAGTAACTTGTACGATTTTATTATTAAGTAGATATTTACGATAAGTCACATGGTATATTACGTCACTTTTAGTATAATAATAATAATTGAATGTGAATGTATTATTATTATTATTATTTAATAATTTTGGAATGACCAAAGAGGTATAATATTAACTTGAAACGTGAGGTTTTACAAGTATAAGATGTTGTGAATTTGATAAAGAATAAAAATAGAAATGTATATTATTGTTAAATAAATAATTAATTATGTTTATGACATTAAATTAGTCAGAAGTATTAATCCATGTGATAGTAGATATAGAATTCTATTCTTGATTAGATTTCATAACATTGATTAATATATTATATATATATTTATTATTTATCAGATTAATTTCCTCATCTAATATATTATATTATATAATTATAAATTATGTAAATATTAAGAAAAATTGTATCTTACCGGACAACATGTGGTTAAATTACTACAAAAATAGGCACTGCCATATAAAATTACAATAAACCCGTATAATAAATTGTAATAGGCGTAGAAATATTATAAAATATACGTAAAAATAATACATTTTAATTTAACTACTGGTCCTATCCTATGTCATAATATATTAACTCTTAACTTCAAGCACTAAAGTTCAAAACGCCTTGTAACTTCAACAGAAACTATGGTTCAATTTCTTCACAACAACCTATCTATTAAGATTAATAATTATATTACCTATTGTGATTCATTTATCTTGTATTTATTTATTTTTTTCTGTTTGAAAATAGATTAACTTAGAACAGAAGTCAGTGTTGTAAATATTGTTAATAAAACTAATGACATTACAAGTAAATATATTATATAATAATGGTAAATAAGTGTATAATACATATATAATAGATAAGTGAATATGTAATATCGCAGTAACCGTGTGGGGAAACTACGCTTGGAAAAAAAATAATTTGACAGTTCAATTTAATGTTTTTAATTAATAAAGTATACATACTAAAATTTTCTTTTGTGTAGTTTCTTTCAATGTGAATAAATATATCGTGGTTGTTTATTAGGTGTATTTAATAAATTATAAATAAATGATTGACCACAAAAATTTCTCAATACTTTTTAGATGTATTGTATTATATAAAGTTCATTTTTGTAAATCTTGTAGATATGATTAATGCCGCATTCTGCCATCTTTTCTTCAAAATCTATTATTTTGTAGTTATATTTCGTTAAATTATTAACGTTGAAGTATATTGAAATTTCAATAATTTTAATAAATAAACGTATCTAATGTATGAATATTAAAAAGTATATTTACATGCAAGTCGTGATTTTAATATGTTTCAGCGTCAAGAACCTGGAGTTAAGTCATTCATGAAATTAAAAAGTAATTTGAACAAATTCATATAAATACCATATACAATTTTGTTTGTCAGTCCAACTGTCATTTAAAATTGTCATATTCTATTTTTATTTGATAAAAGTCTAACTAAAAGTATGGTACCAAAGAAAACACTTCACATTTATCGCGTTTACTAAACTAAACAACACATGTTATATTATAATCCATTTTAGCTTGGTTTGAAGAGAAACTACAAAATTTTGAAAATAATAGCTCGTTCGGAAATGTAAAATATAAATAATTTTACGATCCACGTGGATCCACTTTTATCTGAAACGTAACTTAACGTAGGTACGGCAAGCATGAAATATTTCATCATCGACCAGCACACTAAAAATGAATTATTTATACAAGCCGATCGTGTTCCTCAGGTATAGGATGGTCCTAGATGCAAACGAATATATATATCATGAAGTAAAGAGTATAGAGGTATGTAAACTTTCCAAATTCCGAATAATGTTATTAAAACGATTTATGAAAGAAAATTTCTCTCTCAATTGGAACTGGGTAGTTTCCTCAGTCAAAAACAAATGGTTTCAACTTTTTATAATATAATAAAATATTAAAAAAATAGAAATCTAAGTTACATAAATTCTATATACTTATTGTTCTTTTGCGTTAACATGATTTACAATCACTACTCAAGCTATCCAACTATATTAATCAGTAATTAAGAAGCTCTTAAATTGTTCAACGAACACGATTTTTATCAGCGAGTTCATTACCAAATCTCTTTTACGAAAATTTTCGTTTTTTCGGCACTCAATTTGTTAGAAAGTTATGTTCAAAATGTGTCTAATTTCAGTCAGGTCAACAGGTCTGGTACCTGATAAAAGCATCCCCGCGGGCGGGGCAACTTAATTCTTCTAATTGGTGTTCACGATTAGGTACATTTTTTCGAAGAGATTTTAATACATAATTGGACATGTAAGTTATTCTTGGTTGATTTTGCTGAGAGTTGGTATTTATTCTGTGAAACAGATATACAGACTGAATGGAAACTACATTTTTTCGTTCAAAATAGTAGAGTAGTTCAGATTACCTACTTACCCTCCCTCCATATCCCCAATCTTCTTTATCCCTGACTCCCCAACAATCCTCAAATTCCTAATACCCAATAGGCTGGTAGCGCACTTACCGCACTTGTAATGCCTCTTGTGTTCCGGGTGTCTATTGGCGACGCCAATTGCTTACCATCAAGTGGTCTTTCTGCCCGTCTACCGGCTTATCACATAAAAAAAATCGTACCTATATTTGTCTGGACCTACTAAATATTAGAATGAAGAAACTTTTCTTTAAAAATCGTTAATAAAATTCAATTATATTCAAGAAAAAATATCATTAATGACTTAACACTCAGCTTTCAATTACCGTAGTTTACCATAATTCCAAAGTTTATGCTTTTCTCCATATTTGTACATAATTATTTAATTTAAATAGAGCTCTTAAAGTACAAAGCAGATACGTTCTGTTTATTCAAGATGTTTATTATTTGTATTCTTTATTTATTTATGAAATATATCTATTCTGTCAGTAATCTAATGTAAGGTATCTTTTACAACTTCGAATGTCTTAATGTGTACATAAAATGTGTACATTCGATGCTGTAATACTATCTTTTTAGTTTATGGACACATTTGTGAATATCAATGTGTTTTGTGTGTATAGAATTGAAAGCAAGTAAGTGATTTCATTTTTTATTCTTTTCTCAGACCCATAGAAGGCGTTTGATAAAGTCGTTCGTTATACAAAATTCACTTTATTGTTATTACGCAATTATTTAAATTGTAAAATATTCAATAATTAGATCGCAACAAGCAAATAATATACGTGATGCGATATTTATGAATTTTTATTATATTGAAGTTATACATCTTCTCTACAACGCAATGGTGTGTTACAAGGCTCTATACTGGGTCCAATATGGTTTACAAAATATTTGTTACTTTTTCAGATTCTCAGTTAACGCCTTTTATAAATGAATATACACATTACATTTTCTTGTATTCACAATTGTGTTCATCTTTAGTATTGACGTCGTGTAAAAGAATGTGACGATGAATATTATAAATATATAAAAATTTTCATAGTAGTGAAACGAATGGAATTCTTATCTTTTGGCATTGTTGTATTTTTCTTATGTAGGGGTCCTAAAAGCGACGAAATAAAAATTAGATTCGATGTTGTTTTGTTTTATTTATCCTTTTGAGATAAAATACGAACTACAAACAACTTTATATGATATTCAAAGTCAATTATCATCAAAAATCACAGGAAAAACACCAGTACAGATAAAAACTTTTGTAGTTAAAGCTAACTAGGAATCATTAATCATTTTCATTTACCAAAAAGATCAATATTTTTAGCGTGGTATCCACATAAAATTGCTCATACGATTAGCTGAACTGTCAACTTTTAATATAAGAAAACAAATGTTTTTGTAAATAATATTATGATCGAAAACAAATGTTTGGCAATGACTTTTTGACCTTAGTAGAGTCTGTTTAATATTCATAGGACGGAGTTCATTGACCTAAGTCAGTTGCTTAGTAACTATTACAATAATACCTATTGGCACGTTTAGTAGGTACATTACCAAAAGTTCTTTAATTCTGTGTGAAATATAAAAATAGTTCTTAGTGCTACGTAATAAAGACATTGTCGGTGTCGTAGCCCATGTTAAAAGCCCTACCTAACTGACTGTCTAATTGCTACAATAAATTTTTAACCTTATAATAAAGCAATAACATATAATACTTGCTTAAAGGTAAACAATGAATTTTTATGAAGTTGTAACGAAAAGTTTTATTAAAATGTTTTTTTTATAAAGTAAATGTTTCGAATCCCGCACTAGGGCTTTTGAGGTCATCACAATCGTGTTTTCGATTAGTTTGTTCTCGTTTTGTTTAATATACTTTCATACAATTTAAAAAACAAAAATATAAAACAAAACACTACAAACGAACATACACAAATAAATTCTGTACAGGGTGTCCTAAAAATTTGCAGCGAAAAAGTTAAAAGACTGTCACAGGGTGTACTTTTGCGTGAATAATAAATGAACCACTATTTCGAAATCTACGTGACATTTCTAAGTATATTTTTTCTATCTGTGGAAAGTTGCCGATCACCTTATATCGATTGGACGACAACTTTTAGCTTTGTACCTAAACAGGTAATAAAAAAAACGAAAATAGTAATTGTCATATCACTAGCAACTCTTTGAAATTATGCCCAGTATAATCAGTATATAAGGCTATCGGCTCACTCAATGTTTAATGATACTAATAAAACAATTGGTGAAAAACGTATTAAATTGTATAGTCTCTGCCTAACCTTTCGATGATTAAGACACGTTTTCAACTAAAATATAAAAAATCATCTAAGATCATCGACATACTTTTGGATACTGGCTCATTGTTTTAAAATGGTTGTCATTATGCTCGTTCACTGCCCATGTCCATTATCGTGTCACTTCGTGGCAATGGGCGGGACATGTAGCTCGCAAACACAACTCGTGGTGCAAGGATCTGCTGGAGTGGAGACCGTGGGAACACAACGACGATCCAAAGGTGGCGGAACAAAATTAGCCACTGACAGCCCAAAATATAACTTAGTGGAAAGATAATTGAAGGGGGCCTCCAGCAAATTGGTAAAAAAATGCATGAGATGATGATGATGATATCATTATGTCCGTAAATGTTGTTGGCGATGAATTTAATGACATTGGTAAGATTAACCTTCACTGTATTAATCCCTCGACTTTCATCGTAAAGGGAAGTCCTTAAGACAATATTTAACTCACAGTTTTTAAAAGGACTATCTATGGTTATACTCATTTTTATCAGTTTATAACAAGGCACATTATATCTCTAGTTAAAAG